TAATATTTCACCCGGGTCCGTCTTTAACAATTGAATATTGTGGCACTGCTGGTAATAGTGTAAAGCGACAGTACCCATGACTTCTAAACTAAACCGAGATTTATTCTTCAATGTAGATCCTAAACTAAACTCCAACGATACTATACCAAACTCAAACTCCACTTGAGTAGCTAACTTTTGCTGATTGATATCCAAAGATTTTGTAGAATCCTGTAAGATATATAACTGGGACATTCTCTGCCCCTTCATCTCAACACGGACATCTTTACTCACTTTCAGGACTCTACATTTACCAGTGTATTTGTACTCTTTTAAATCAAGAGTACTCAATGAAATAATATTTCTTTTCAAATCTAGAACATGCCTCACCTCATCAAGTGTTTTCCATCAAATATTTTAATTCTAACCCTTCCAATACCAGTTATCTTACAAGGTGCATTATTTTCCATTCACAACACTTTTTGAAATTGCTTCATATGTTGAAAATGAATCCCCATTATAACAAATATGAAAAGTACAAGTTGTATCAAGAATCAATCCTCGTCAGGTTTGAAGTCACTGTCAGAAATTATACAAAAGTTTTCCATCATTCCAGAAATCTTGTGCAATATTGGCTTCACCTGAAATTTCTAGTTGTTTCTCCTTCTGTTTTGTAGTAATTGATTTATCCCTATTCTACAACTTATACTAATTCTTCTTAATGTGCCCCTTCTTCTTGTAATAATCACAAATCTTATTTTTGGAACTAGACTTTGATTTGCCCCTCTCATACCACCATGAACAACAAGGTCTTCTCCTTAAGTTTCAGATCTAGCGAGATTCTTCATCTTCTCCTTTGAAAACAAACATCGTATACTTTTTCAATGGTGACAGTATCACAATTGTATAAGATTGTGCCTGTAAAAGACATATACGAGCGGGCAATGAACACAATAAATTCAACCATAAATCTTCTTCATCATACTTAACCTCCAAGTCTCCAAATTATCGATAATTTTCTTAAAAACAGCTAAGTGATCTTCAAGTAATGTATCTTCTGTCATATGATGAGAATATAATCACTAATCCAAATGCAATTTGTTGTTTAGACTTTTCATCATGCACAATTTCTCCAACTTAATCCATAATCCAACGACGATTTTCTCTTTAAAACGTTTTGAAAAATATTATTCGAAAGATGAAGATGAATCTATAATGGGACCTTTCAATCCTTATGTTATTTCTCCTCCAATGTCCAATTTGAGGGCATTTTGACAAATCCCAAAAAAACTTATCCAAATCCATCTGAGTGAACATTGCTTGCATTTTTACCTACCATAACAAAAATATTGTGTTGCGATCCAAACGCGGAATATCATACTGCATGGTTGTCATCAGAAAAATCAAATCTTGAACTGAATTGATCGAACCTCTCTCTAATATCACTTCTTGTGAATTTGATACAATTTGTTAGATTCAATAAATGAGAATAATATGGCAAGATGGAAACAAACAATCAAGAACACCAAAATTTACGCGGAAAAGCACCACAAGTAGAGGAAGAGAATTCAATATAAGATGAAAGAATACAAGTGTTGTGTTTTTAACTTGTTCTAAATTATAATGAAAAGCTAACTATATATAAAATACATTCCAACCCCCAATTATAGTATTATAGATAGAAATGGTATCTTAAAATTCGTCAAATTGCAAAAAAAAGGCATGGGCCGGATAACACTGGCGCTTGAGCACCCAACCCCGTGGACAGTGAGTGGTGGCACAATGCTCCATTTGGCGCTCATGTACTGAATCTCTATTCCAAATCCAATTTTTACATCTAGTTGGCTTTTAGGCATCCGAATTGAACACTTGGGGGCACCTAATCTTTGCCCCCAAAATCCCAAATCTATATTTTGACTTCTTTAAAACTTTCTTCAATCAGAATGCCAATTTCCAACAGAATTTGGATCACAATTCAACACATGCTCATTTTCTTGGTTCAACAGCGAGCATTATTAGGAATGATATCTTGAAAGAAAATTTTTCTATTTAGGCAGACATTTTAGTTGATCATTAAATAGATATTCATCTTTAGACTAATTTTCATATAATATTGTTATTTGTGCTAATAGCAAATGTGTCATAGATGTCATAATAATTATAGAATGTTTTCACGGTTTTTTTTTTTTTTTTGCGTGGAAGATAAAATCTGTTACAACCTAAACAAGTTTCCACAACTCGGAATGAAGTTGGAGACTTTTTTTTTGTTCACATAGGAGCCAGCAGCCTCTACCCGTCGCGGGGCCCCGACCACCCTCGAAGGGGCGGAGGCCCGACCATTATGAGTACGCATTAGGTAAACCCCACGCCATGTGCAGTAGCCCACAAATCACAGTAATGTGTATGACTTGTTTTAGTTAGTCCTAATGTTGTCTACTTCATAGTAGTGTGTGTGTGTGACTTATAAGGTGAAGTCATGACATTCAAGTAGAAACGCTAGTGCATCGAAATGCATTTACTAAGCGATCTAGCGTTATTATTTATTATAGTACGGTAACTAAATGTTTTGTACATTTTTTAAATTTATTATGTAATTTGGTTTGTAGAGTAATGAATCAATTTTTTAATTTAATATATTAATTAGTAAATATAATTTATTAATGTTCCAATTTATACAATATAGTTTTAGTCCCAATTTGGTGAGGATTAAAATCAAAATTTTAGTAAATTTTAATAAAAGTTGATGAATGTGTGGTTGAAAAATTGTGGATCCCATGAAATATGTGATTAAAATTAATTGTTGACTTTAGTTTAGATTAAAATCTAGATTTTAAGCCCTACAAAACACGGGTTTAATAAGATTTGAATAATATTATGTATCACCAATAGGGGATAAGCATCAATCTATATGGAGTAGGCTATTATACATTGTCTAATGAATAAAAAAACATAATAACTTTATTAAACAGCTAGTTATTGGAACGTGCGATGCACGTGACTTTTTTGTATATTTAATAGTTAAACAATTCATGTATTCTTTTTATTCGTCATCTGTTGATAATAAGTGAAAAAATGAAGAATTATTTTTTGGAATTAGAATGAAGAATTCATTAGCTAAATATGGAAGGTATAAAATGAAAAGAATTCAATTAAAAACAATGGTTTATAACGTGAAAGGGAAAGTTAAAAACTCAGTTTTACAAACAAAGAAGTGCAGTAGAAAATTATTAAAATCAAATAAAACACTGCAAATAAGTTGTGTAGGAATTAGGCTTTGATATGTTGTAGACACTTTGTACGCCATAAACATTGGGAATTTATCATTGATGAACTCAAAGACGAATGTATATCACCTATTTCGATTTGTTTTTCCATTGCATAGTCTGCTCAACCTATTGTGAAACAGCATATATTATTGTTTTATCTTAGATTTGAAACAATTGCCAATTATTATGTGAAGAATCATGAATTTGAACATTCTACACAAATTTAGGTAGGTGTCTTCGAGCAAAGTTTCCAAGTACATACTACAAAATATATGAAAATTGAATAAACTATGTAATCCAAAAATAGTTGAAGAAGGCATATGTATACATTTATTTTGTACTCGTTTATTTAAAAAAGAAATAACTTCAAAAGAATTGAAGTTCAATATAAATGAATGCAGTTGAGTGAAACAGAAAAAGATTACAAATTTTTAGCTCAAAATATCAGTTAATTGGCCATTGTAAACCATCAATACTTCTTACAAAAATCATGAACAGATTACAAGAACATTATAAGGATTTGTTTTCTTAACATTGGGTGCATAGTTTCTACAATTATTCCCCACAATGCAAAAAAGGAGCCAACTCATTTCCTCTATGTCAAAACCATGGTCCATATGCTGAAGATAAAAGGTTGGGTCTACCAAATACTATAGAAATCTAGAAAAGCTGGATGACCACACTTCCAGCCAATGTAAAGAAATGTATATATATATATATATANGGAAAAATTACATTTAGGACTTCAATCTCACGGAAACTTACATGTTGAATTACAACGTCGTTTTGGGCATTAGTGTGAACAATATCATATTCATAGCCTCTTATAAGATTGCACGGATGTAGCAGTGACACTACTGCCATATTAATTGGTGTTAATCACCGTTGTGATAAATAGTATTACTTATATGGAAAATAATTTTTTATTTCATTATATCTAAAAGTATCATATATAAATATAATATGTCATTTTTGGTGATTTGGAATTATTATAATATTATCTTACGTAATAATATATTTTTTGGAATTTAACCATTTTTTGGAGTCCAATTCTTCAACTTTGTCTTGATTTAACCCACACCTACCCACCTAATATTTTAGATACCAAAGATAATATAATCAATTGAATTCTAGAAAATAAATAAGAAAGACAAATTATTAAGAATATGACTGCCTTTGGCTAATTAGGGTCAATGAGAATTAATAAAAACTCTTAGATTGAATCATTATATTGAAAACTCAATTGACGAGTTACTCTTCCTCCATAGTTCTAAACCTACCAAAAAGAGAAACCTAAGTATATGTTCCGAAATTATTTTTTCTTTACAATGTTGATCTTTTAAGATCGAAAATCAAGGCTTAATATGACATACGAACCCATAAAGCTCAAACCAGTAATCAAATTTAAAAATTGATGTTTACAAATGAGTCCCATGTTATCGAATCTCACATCAATCATATATAAAGTAATGATAAGCATAAGAAAGTCATCTTAACAAGATTAACATTTTAAGATGAGTCATTAGACTCAATAGATGACTCTGTGTCATTGGAAAATAGAAGTACAAATTTGTTGAGTGAAAATTTTGTTCTAGAAATGTAAAAGAAAAACTAATATAAAATCTTTAAAAATATATTATGACACTTGAGCAAAAAGGGAAATATATAATTTATAAACAAAATGATGGCCCTATATAAAAGGGGGGGCTGTGTAAGAATTTAGGTGAGAAAGGCTTTGGTTTGAATGTGTAGTGAATGGAGAGCTTCTTCTATCAACTTCTCCTCGTTGGAATCTTCTTAGTAACATTCCCATTCCCATTGCCTTCTTCTTCTTCTTCTTCTTCTTCTTTTTCTACAGTACCAACAAGACATTTTCAATTTAATGTAGGTTAAACTCAACTCTCTCTCTCTCTCTCTCTCCCGCCTTCTTCATCTCTATTTCTATATATATAATATATAATAGTTACTGCAAAAAAAAAAAAAAATTATTTTTAACCACAAAAACTTTCATCTGCATCAATAGGGAAAAAAATACATGTCAAATGCTTATGTTGTATATGTACTTGCAGGTTGAGTGGAAGAAGGTAACGCGATTATGCCACACGAAGCAACTTTTGACAATAAATGGTAAGTATCCCGGGCCGATGATTATTGTTAACGAAGGAGACAATGTTCAAGTTAAGGTTACTAACCAAGCAGCGAGAAACACTACCATCCATTGGTAAGTAGAAATTAATAATGAATTACTTTTTAAAATTGATTAATTAAATCGGTATGTTATATTTTTTGCATTGTCGATACTGTTTTCGTCCATTTGCAATTATTTATCATTAATTAATGAATGTTTGATAAATGGTATGAAATTTCTAATCAAAGACTGTTAGTTGAAGTTTTCGTGGTACTCATGACCAACGACAAAACTTCCAGCTATACAATTATTAACATCTTTTATTTATTAATTACATAAGTAGCTAAATTTTTCTCACGCCTCACTTGATTGCAAACTTTTGATGCCTTTCTATAAGGGGTCCCTTCTGCTTATTCACTTTGACCCTTTTTTTTTTTTTTAAATAATGCTATTAATCTCCACAATTTATGTGACAATTATATGTCATTAAATAATATATTCATTTAAATACAAAGTTACATAACTCATTTAATTGAGTCTATAATTTATTGTTATGTAATTGTTACCTCAAGCCCAGTGGAGATGAATAATATTATTCATTTTTTTCTTTTGAAAAATTAAATTTACATCATGTATATATATAAAGATGGATTTATTCTAAATTTTAAACCTACACTGTTTAAAATTAATTGTTCGGATTTTTTGAATAATGCGGGACAATATAGATAAGAAATATTTGATCTATTATTTCTATAGTATTATCTAATACTACTTACTAAATATACGAAGACTTTAAAATTGGTATCATATGTGCATATACTTCTCTTGAATAAGACAAAGAGGTGGTCAAAACCCATTAGGAGAAGGGACTCGTTATTGAAGGGAAGAAAAGGCAATGTTAAAAAATAATTAAAAATATGTTTCATTCAACAAAGTACTAAATCAGATCAAAGAAAAAGTATAAGAAATTAAATTTTTCTTTTCTTTTCTTTTTGTAGTTATTTCCAATAATACCTGGTATCGTGTAGTAAATATACCTTAACCGTAAAATTCAAGATTTTAAATTGTTGCTCTATATATCGTTGCCCAAAGTACACAAAACATAGTTTTAATGTTTTTTTTTTTTGTTGTAAGAAGTCTCTCACGGTAATTTTTTCACAAATCAACCAGTCAATTACTTTCTTGAAGAAAAAAATCGTGGTTATAGCGTCATGAGTTTAGTCGTAAGTTGATGATACCTATATATGTTGTGAGAAACAGGCACGGTGTAAGGCAGTTAAGAACAGGATGGGCAGATGGACCAGCTTACATAACCCAATGCCCAATCGGAACAGGCAAAACGTATGTATACAATTTTACAGTAACAAATCAGAGAGGTACACTTCTGTGGCACGCCCATTATTCATGGCAACGTGCATCCGTTTATGGGGCTTTCATCATTTACCCTCGCATGCCATTTCCATTTTCGGCTCCAGTTCAAGATCATATTCCTATTATCTTTGGTAACCATCTTCTCCTTTCTTTCTCCTCACTTTGGCATTTTAACAAACACATGTAGTGCACAATTTTTCATGCACCCTTAAAATGGACTAGCAATGTCAAAATGGCATATAAATTAGTAATGGTCTGGACCGTCCAGTTCCTGAATGATCCAAACCGTTAGAAACTAACCCGATTTGTGTAGTTTATTGCTTGGTCTGGTCCGCCATAATGAATAATACGATATTTGCTTTTTAAACCAAGTCTTCGTTTGGATACAATTATACAAATTGATAAATGGTTAATCCAAAAAAATGATTGGATTGGCCGGAGCGAGTGGAGCCTAGTTGTAAACGGGTCGATCTGGGACCATCCACTTTGACACCACTGCATTCTGGCTTTCCCAATTACAGTCATTAAAGTGCTAGTTGTTCGAGATGCACAAAACATCTTACGTCCTTCTTATTGAGTTTAATATCTTAGAAAGAGAGAATTTCCTATTTTTATTCCTTAAGAAAAATGGAAGTCTCTGTCTCGCATCCATTCTCCGTCACACTGTAGGAACAAAAATATCGGTTCTCAATGACTTCAAAGTCGACTACACGTTGCAAATTGTATTAATTTGCTTCTTACTTATGAACACAGGTGAATGGTGGAATGCCGATGTTGATGCGGTGGAAAATGAAATGATGCTGTATGGTGGTGGACCTAATACTTCGGATGCTTACACCATTAATGGTTTACCAGGGCCATTATACCCTTGTTCCATTAAAGGTACACAGCCAAATGATGCTTGCCTGCTTCAAAACCCTACATAATTCAAGTTAATTTCACTATTGTAAAGGCTGTCCATTTCTTTTTCTTTTAATCTTTTTCATTAACCGTGCAGATACTTTAATCCAGACTGTTGAGCGTGGCAAAACATACTTGCTAAGAATTATTAATGCAGCCTTAAATGATGAACTTTTCTTTGCTGTGGCAAATCATACTTTAACTGTGGTTGAAATTGATTCTGTTTACACAAAACCCTTTACAACATCAGCTATAATGATAGCCCCTGGACAGACAACAAATGTTTTGCTCACTGCGAACCAAATCCCTGATGCTTCCACTGGCATGTTTGTTATGGCAGCTAGGCCTTATCTCACTTCGGTTTTCCCATTTGATAATTCGACCACTATTGGTTTCTTGAAGTACAAGACGACGCAATTAGAAAGGGAAAAGCCTCCATTGCCGCCTTATAGTTTACCTTCCAATCTCCCTTCAATGGAAGATACAGCATTTGCTACAAACTTTTCGAACCAGCTCCGTAGCCTTGCATCGGCTGATTACCCGTGCATCGTGCCAAAAGAAGTTGAAAAGCGCATAATAACCACTATAGGCCTGAACTTGCAAGATTGTCCTGTTAACGAAACCTGTAAAGGCTATAGAAACAAAAGGTTCTATGCATCCATGAACAATCAATCGTTTATTCGACCGTCAAGGTCAGTACTTGAATCTCACTATTGGAAATTAAACACTGGATATGCTTCAGACTTCCCAGAGAAGCCACCACATGTTTTTAACTACACCGGGGTCGATCCAGTGGCTGAAAACATGAACACAGAGTTTAGCACAAGGTTTTTCGAGGTACATTTTGGGACAAAACTAGAAATTGTTCTACAAGATACGAATTTTCTTAATCCAGAAAACCATCCAATACATGTACATGGTCACAATTTCTTCATTGTGGGAAGGGGGTTTGGAAACTTTGATATTGACAAGGATCCGGCAGGTTACAATCTGTTGGATCCTCCAGAAAGGAATACAGTGGCTGTACCTGTCGGGGGATGGGCTGCAATTAGGATCAATGCAGATAATCCAGGCGTATGGTTCATACACTGCCATCTTGAGGAGCATACTTCTTGGGGTCTAGCCATGGGATTCATTGTGAAAAGCGGTCCGGAGTCATTCCAGTGTTTGCTTCCACCACCTAGTGATTTTCCCCCCTGCTGAGTTTTTGTTAGATTATAGTTTTAAGCTTTTCATCTGTAACACTTATTTCACGTTAGTATGTTTAAGGTATGCTTGGTATGCATTGTTGAATAGGAACAAAGTTTATAGTAAACAAAAATTTAACTTCTTATTGTTCTTATTGGTCCCAAAATAATTCATGGTTTGATTTATAAACGGAAAATACCAAAAGAAAACACGTAAAATAACAAGATCCACACAAGATTTTTGGCCCAAAGGCCCCAAAGTTCGGTGACCACTTTTAACGCCTAATCCCCGTTGAGCATCATTAAGGAATACGCTCAAATCCACTAAGAATGCCCAAAAATAGGCAAAAATCAAGTTCCAGTACACATGCTCAATCATGAACTCACACAAGAGTTCATCATAATAACCATTCTACTTCTCAAAATCACACAAGAAATTAGAAGAGAATAACCATAAATTCTACAGAGAAAGAAACGAGAGAAGCTGCTTGACAAAAGGATAAATAATCTCCAAAAATGAAAAGTCTTGAACTCCAGATTGTTTCATGCCCCTTTTGTGAGAAAATTGCAATTTTACTTCAATCCAAAGGTCTCAATTAAGCCATGTGTCCACCATCAAATAAAGATTCTCTTTATTTGTAGAAAAGTCCTTGAGGTAATGTGTTTTGCACCATTCCAGAATTCTCTACTAATTGGATTAGAACATTGGGCCAAAGTCACTTGGGTCAAAGTAACAGAACATAATTGGGCCTCTATCAAAATCAACGAACCATCTTCTACAATCTCCACCTTTTGCTGTATTTTGAGACAGTACTTATGTGGATTTAAACATATACCAAACTTCATTTGCTCTTTTTACCTGTACAAAAACAGAAAATTAGTCTTCTTCAAGATTTAATAACCTTAAAGAATCTAAGATCTTATTTATAGGTATTACCTTGGTTCTTGCATCTGCATGATTTACTTGACTTGGTATTTTGACTAGCTTAATATCACCTTTATCAATTATATCCCTAATGAAATGAAACTTAACATCTATATGTTAGGGCCTATCATGAAAAACTGAGTTTTTACTCAAAAATATTGCACTTTGGTTATTAGAACATAGCTCCATCTGATTTTCTATAATTCCTAATTCACCTAGTAGACCTTTCAACCATAACCTTTCCTTTACAGTCTCAGTGGCTGCAATGTATTCAACCTCAATTGAAGACAATGCAACTACCTTTTGTAATTGTGATTTCTAGCTAATGCATGTATCATTCATAACATAAAAATATGCAGTTGTATATTTCCTATTGTTTGGATGTTCAGCATAATCAGAATCTACATAACCTTTTAGTTTAAGTCCATTTTTATCAGTTTTGAACATAAGACCTAAATGACTTGTTCTTTTCAGGTATTTAATCAATTTTTTCAGGCATTACCAATGTAATTCACCTGGATTACTCATAAATCTGCTTAGCACACTCACAATATAAGAAATATCAGGTCTAGAGCATACCTTCACATACATCACAGATCAACAACATTAGAATATGGCACAGTCATCATTCTTTTATGTTTATTTTCAGATTTAGATGATTGATCAATAGATAATTTCATACTACCAGACAGAGGCAGGCTAACAGGCTTAGCATCATGAAGAGGAAACCTTTTAACTACTTTTTCAACATAAGACATTTGTGTTAGAAACAACTTCCCATTTATTCTATCCCTTTTAATTTCCATGCCCAATATTTTATTAGCTAGTCCTAAATCTTTCATTTCAAATTCAGATTTCAACTTCTCTTTAATCNAAAACAGGGATCATAATTAGATTTCTTAAAGTCCAATCCTTATATAAAAGAGTCAAATCTTTTATACAACTACCTAGGGGCCTGCTTTAGGCCATACAAAGATTTTTTCAAGAGACACACAGAGTCCCTCCTATCTTTAACCTCAAACCCTCTTGGTTGAGTCATGTATATAGTTTCATCTAAAGAACCATACAAAAAGGCAGTCTTCACATCAAGTTGTTCTAATTCTAAGTCAAATTGTGTCACAATGGCAAGTAAAACTCTAATAGAGGTGTATTTAACAACGGGTGAAAGCATTTCAATGTAGTCAATCCCTTCACTTTGTGTAAACCCATCTGATACAAGCATAACCTTATACCTTCTATTGTTGTTCTTCTTAGCCTATCCCTCTTTGATCTTATATACCCATTTACAATTAATCACTTTGCATTCTATGGGGTTTTCAACTAAAATCCAGGTCTGATTTTTATAAAAGGAGCTCATCTCTTCTTCCATTGCATCAATCCACTTAGGGGATTCTTTGCAAGAGATGGCTTCTTCATAAGAAGCTAGTTCTGTATCAAACAGATCAGGTTCAGATTGTTCAATCACAAAATCAGCATACTGATACTTGGAAGGAGGCCTTATTTCCTTCATTTTTCTATCTTTAGTAAGCTGGTAGTCCTGCGGGTCATTTGCAGGCTCCAGATGCTGGTCATCTTCTATAATTTCAACATCAGAGAAATTTTGTGGTTCCACTTCATGTGGCTCCATCTCAAACTGAATCTGATCATTTCTAGTCTCTCTATTAAGATTTATCTCAGTGATTGTAAAATCATCTTTTCCAATCTTTTCACCGGATTTGTCACTAAGACGAGGAAAATCACCTTTATTAAAGATCTACTTGTAATCACTTTATAACCTTTCACAACTCTTGACCATAGTCTATAACCTTTAACTCATTCTCCATAACCTAAGAACACACCCTTCAATGATCTAGGGTCCAATTTTGAATATGTATGATGTGCATATGCTGTACAGCCAAAGGCTCTGAGGTAGGAGTAGTCAGGTAATGTTCCAGACCATATTTGTTCAGGAATTATATTGTTTAGAAAATTGGAAGGACAATTGTTTGTGAGATAACAAGCTGTTTTCACAGCCTCTCCCCAAAAGATTTTGGGAAGATCAGAACTCATTAACATGCATCTAGTCCTTTCAAGAATAGTTCTATTTAATCTCTCAACAACTCCATTTTGTTGAGGAGTATAGCCGACCATTTTATGTCTTAATATCCCTTATTTAGAACAATATTGATCAAAATCTGAATTACAGAATTCAAGCCCATTGTCAGTTCTTAAAATTTTTATCTTCTTATTGGTCTGATTTTCAATTAATAAATTCCATTCTTTGAAAGTTGAAAACGTATCTGATTTAGATTTTAATAAGAAAATCTACGTTTTTCGTGAAAAATCATCAGTAATGAGAAGATAATATCTGAAACCAGATACAGTTGGTACAGGGGCAGGTCCCTATGAATAGAATGTATATATTCAAGGATACCTTGGGATTTATGCAGCCCTTCCTTAAAAGGCAGTTTGGCCTATTCTCCCATAATGCACTGTTCACAAAAAGTTAGTTTTTGAACACTATCATTTCCAAATACCACTTGACTTGACAAGGTTTTTAGGCCTTTTTCACTCAAGTGGCCAAGCCTTTTATGCCATAGGTCTGATTTATCGGGATGTGTGACAAAGTTCACAAAATTATTAAGTGAAGTGATTTCAGCCCCTATAACATAAATTTCATTGAATTTTGGTGAACTGACAATAAGTTCTTGATTTCTGATTATATTAGTAGAACCATTCTAAATCTTAATTTAATATCTCTCATCATCAAGAACTCCTAGGGATATGAGGTATCTTCTTAGGGCTGGAACATATCTAGTGTGTTTCAAAAGTAGGTGATGACCGTTTTTGAATTTCAGCAACACATTGCCAATTCTTTTA